TTTGTAGAGTGTCTGAGAGAGATCATTTACATAAATATTCCTAACAAATTCAAAAAAAAAAAAAAAAAAAAAAAAAAAACAACAACCAACCCTGGCGGAGCTGGGATGGGAAAGCAATCGCTATACAAACACACTTTATATATAAAAGCCCAACAATTGAAAAATAATACAAGTGAGAAAACAGAGGAAGTTCAGAATCACTCTTAATAGGAGCTGGCATGCATGGGACTGTGTCATAAACACTGGAAATCAATACTGAAGGAGTTTGAAATTCAAGGCAGGACCAAGGTTGTTCAGACTATGTCTATGGTAGGGGGTCTGCAGTGAATGCTGGAAAATTTCCCCAGATGAAGAAGAGACTTCAGGCAACAGAAATATGCTTCTACAGGAGGATGTTGAGAATACCACAGACTGAATATAGGAGCAACGGCAAAGTTTTAGAGAAAATGGAAACAAAAAGGACATTTACACATAACACCGGGAAGAGTTTAAGCTTTCCTACACAAGAATGAGATTGTAATTAATGGGAAAACTACTAAATTTATTTTTATATTGCATGATGATTATTAGTCTCTGTGACTTCATTTGCTGTACAAAAAATTTATCCAACCACTGAAGGTGACTGTGAACAATAGTGTGTTTGAATTTCCTAGTTGCGTTGTCATATCCTGCTGTGGCAACAGAAAACAACTTTGAGTAAAATAAACAATAAGGGTACTGCAATTGAGAGGCTTTGAAATAGAATGCAGTGGAAAGGGAAGTAATAATGCAGCATGCTAAATGTTAAAAGCCATGAGTTTTAACAGAGTACAGAAGGTGTGACACTGAAATCTGAAGGCACATTGAGATAGTGAAAGATGTTTATCAAAAGATAAACAAAGACAAGGTTCCCACAGATCAGTATTAAAAATTCCAGGACTTTTTATGGACTTTTCCAGGACTACGTGAATGGTCATCAATTTTAAAAAACACAAAACTTCATGTTTTATCTTTTAATAGTTGAGAAGTTCCAATAATTCATATTACATGGATCAGTTGAAAGCAGTGAAGAAATCAAAGTGTTGAAGGCTAAAATATAACTGAATGCAGACCTGGTTATATTACACATTTTGTGTAGCATTCAACACAGTTTGGAGTTCTACTACATTTGAAAATTTTGAATTACATACTTTAATTCATAATGCTACACATTTCAGCTATCTACTCATGTTTTATGAATGTCACAAAAATTCTTGACTGCTGCACATCTCCTGTGAAGTTAAGTATAATGGTTTTAATAAATAGAAATTTTCACAAAAAGATTACACATATTAGCTACCCCTAGGCAACCAAACTCAAACCCTGGTCAACCCCACACCTGACGGACACAGGACTCCATATAAGGCGGAGATTTGAACAACTTGAAGAGTCCCCACATTACTGCTACTAGAATCCACATCATTTGCTAAGAGCTCCTGACCAACACTTTGTGTCATCCCTGAAGACCAGAACTTAGAAATCTAAGTAACTGTTAAAACAAGCTGCAGACTCCAAAGGAGATCCCAGTGTCATTTGATTATAAAAATAAGTGGGAAGGGTTAAAACTGCTGTATGTAACAAATCATCTTGTTACATTTTTAACCAGAGTTAATTCTTTCTTTGAAAGGATTCTTTATTGTGTAGCTCCCAGGTGTCAAACATGCTTCACTTTAGTTTGCTTCATCAGTGATCGTTTCACCATCTGAGACCAAAAAAACATGCATTAATGAGTAAGGAGTCAGCTAGATGGTAACTACAGTGGTCTGAAGGAACTTTAAGATCAATACAGGGCATTGGGCTACATTATTGGTGGCCATAGACAAGAATTGACGTGTGGGATGACATTATTGGTTACTGTTAACTAGGATCAGCATGGGTTTACAAATTCATCTAGTTTAACATTCAGCTCCTCTTCGAATTTGGATATCTTTATGGATTTGTTCTTTGCAAATCTTCGCATGCCATTGGACTTTGCTATAAGTGCGAAGTCCTGAGTCTGTGCAGCTTTCTCCACATAACTGTCAACTGACTTGAACAAATCTTGTGTGAAATTTTTAAGCTTCTGCTTTTTGGTCTTCAGTTCTTTAATTTCCATAACCATGGATTTCCGTTTTTGTTCAGCTGCTTCTTCCTTTTTTTTTTTTTTTTTCCTCTCAGCTTCATGGTATTGGTTGTATGTTGTTCTGAGATTGGAAGCACTTCAGAGAAAAGCCTTAGTCATGAGAACATTCCCAGCACCTGAAACTGTGGCCAAATTGTCTGTGATAATGTGCTGTGCAATCAGAGTCTACTGTTTCATATTGTCAGTGGAAATTTCCTTATTGACTGAGAAACCACTCTCCACTGAGGACTGTCCAGGAGAAAGTACCAGCAATCTTAACTTTCCATGTTTTTTTTATAGACTTTGCTGCTAAAAGTGTCACAAGACGGTCTTCATGCTTGCTGAAATTCTCGAAAGCAATATTTCCAGCAGCCTCCTCAAACTCTTTGTATTGACTCATGATGTTATCACAATCACAAATGGATCCCGAGTTCAGCTATGCAAGTGACCTTCCAAGAGAGTATCTAAGGGAAAATTTTGATAGACATTTCTCAATGATGATGATGAACATTGCCTTTGTTGCAATTCTGCATGCAAACAGATCTTTTGTTGGCATATTTTCTTTTTATGGACACAGCCCTATCTGCAAGAAATCCACACTCAATCTTTGCAGCATCATTATGCATGTTTGGGTTTGACAAAATCTATACAAATTCATTCAGTTTGGAAAATATAATTATCTTTCTACTAGATATCTCTACTAATTTAGGATACCAGAAATATAAAAATGAATTTTTTTATGAATAAAAAAGCTTTCTTGAAACTTTCATTTTAGCTTTAATGGAATGCTAAAGAATTAAATTTATCATTTCCAGTAGGCAAACTACTGTGGCATATTTCAAACAAAATTATATTGATTGGAATTGATTGTTTAAAATTTTTCTAATATAGTTGATTAGCACCCTTCTTTTAGTCATTTTTATTACAATGTAATTCTCTGTATTAAAAAATCTTCCAAAAATAAAATATACTTTTCTGAAACTTTATTTGAGGAATATTATCTGATTTAAAGTATATTAATGTGATTTGAAAAAAAATATTTTTTACTTTAAGTTTAAAATAACACAAAAATGTATTTTTAAAAAGAAAACAATAGCTGTGTTATTAACCGACATCACCATGTTTTATACAATTAATGAGGCAATGACAGGTCATGTCATAATAATTGAGACTTTATCTGCAACACGGGAAGAAAATGACAGGTGCACCTTTTTTTTTTTTTTTATTATAACATTTTTAAGTACTCCATAATTTTAAAATTATTTTTAAAATATTTATGCAAAATGATTGCCATTAAGCTTTTCAATTTTTGATTAGAAAATATTGTTTTCACTTAATAACAATATCATTTAACCAGATGAAAGTAATGTGAAATTTTAAAAGATTTATATATTATAAATTATTATAATAAAAATTTTTAAAAAAATGGAAACAATTCTTGTTAAAATTCATTATTCATCAAAAAAAAAAAAAAAAAAAAAAAAATTTTTAAAAGCAATTAAAAGCTTTTCTAATTAAATAATATCATACTTTTACTGCATTTTTATTTTACATTACAGAGAAAATTTTTACAATGAGTAGTAGTTTGAAAAAAAAAAAAAAAAAAAATGATTAATATTCTCCAAGAAGTCCTGGCTTTTAATTGATAAAAAAAATTTTAATTTCTGGAAATTTCATGGAATTAAGTGGTGGTAGTGAGGGGGTAACATATGCAAAAAAAAATGTATTTTTACCAAGATTTTCTAAAAAGAAATTTCAAAAATAATTTCATTCATTTGTGGATAAGTCCTGAAAATTTCATTAAAATCAGACAATTATTCGATTTCTGCAAGAATTTACAATCAATATTTTTCACTGGGAAAAAATACACTAAAACACTAATCATCAATATTACGTCAATTGCTGATGAAAAAAAGTGAAAAGACAAAATTTATTAAGAGCTACAAAAGATAGGAAGTTGTGAAGCACCATGATCGTCCACATCTTGAAGGAACAACACACAGAAGAGAAAGAAAGGAGCTTGCAAGGATACCAAGGAAAGTGCTTCAGGCTTTTAGGAAAATTCTTTCAATTCAGTCTCCAGCAATAACCACTAGACATCCAGTCTGAGCATACAAATGCATGAATAATCTTCAAACCATGTAATAATTATCAATGTGCTTTTATTTATATATTTCCTGTCCTATCTGCAGTGGAAAGGGAGGTAACTCAAGTTAGTAAATTTATGAATGATTACTTCACTTAGTCATTTTAATAATCTATACAAATAAAATATTTATTGGCATTTAGACAAAATTAGTTTACAAGCAAATGGAACTATTTAATACTTTTTCTTCTGTGTTTCTTAGATAGCAGTCTTATTTGTTCAAGCCTTTCACGTGAGGCACTCAGATAACATTAAAACTTACAGCTATAATTGCAAATGACTAAACATTCATTGCTATGTATTATCAATCTTGCTATATGACAGTGAATGTTGGACAGTTGCTCACAAATGAAGAGAAAACTTGAGGCAACAGAGATGTGGTTCTACAGAAGGATGCTGAGATTATGCATGAGGCATGTAAGCAACAAGGAAAATGGAAGCAGCAAGAAGCTTCCCTAACAAGCTCGTGTATAGGATGGCAGAACATGAACTAGAAAGAACAGCAAAGAGATGAAGATTGCTTAGAAATAGGAACTTGTGGAGAGTGATAATCACCCACATCTTGAAGCTCCTGTTTGTATCATGTGTTAAGAAGCTTTACATATATTTTGAAGCATATTGCTGATTCCCCCCCTTGACATACAAAAATTTTTTTTTTCTTTTATTCAAGCATTCACTTTAGAAAGCATTGTGATTTTAAAAAAGGCAGCTCAACTAATTTCACCTCTGAATACTTCAATAGAGAAAGTTTGTCATTTCAAAAAAGTAAAGAATTATATTTACCAAAACAGCCCAATTGGCACCAGCAGATGGTGGTGGGCTCATGATGACAGGATCAGGAGGAGAGAGAACTGGTTCCACTGGTCCCTACAAAGAAAGAAAAAAATTGTTAGAAAGAAAACCATGCTAATATATTCTTTATTTCAATCAAACATTTTTGAATAATTATATACAAACAGTAAAATCTTTTGAACAGAAATAGAAGTTTATCCCTTGTTTCCTGTTTAGGATTGGGTTTCTGGTTCATTCTAAAGTCTTTTCATTCTCTTTCATTTCCAATAGCTCTGTGTCTTAGTGGCATTATTGCCTTGCTTGGGTGAATTGATTAAAAAAAATAAATAAAACATACAACTAAATTCAAAAAGCATATTTAAAAAAAAAAAAAAAAAAAAAATAGCCTGAAATTAAACAATTAAAATTTGCTATTCTATTACTATTTCCATGGTTAATATTCAGATAAGCTCCACTTTTTGGTTTCACCAGTTCAAACGTTTAGAACTTGGAAATGTCATGCTACTTCCAGAGTCATATCCTTCTCATTTCCTCAATATTCCAAATGTAAAAAGGAAGCTCCACACAGAGTTTTTTGTCCCTCACCCCAAGAACTGCTAATTTATGGAACTCCCATGTGGATACTTTCCTGAATACTACAATCTTAAACTATTCAAGTCAAGGGTCAATCAATATCTATCCTCCTTATTCTCATAATCTTCACTTCGTACTACTTCCTCTTTCATACGTATCATACACCTTGTTTATCATAACTATTTTCAGAGTAACCCTCTACTTTGATTGGCACTTGAACCTTGTGGTGGGTGAACTTTAATATAGGAAAAAAAGTTATAACAGCTAATTTTAAGCATAATAAACACACCTGATTTTGCGTATTCATTTTTAGAAAAAAAATGTGTATTATACATGGGCAATTATGGTAATCGATTGAGTCATTCATTTTCTATGGCTTATCAACCCTTTGCAGGTTATTTAAAGCCAGAGAATTTTTTTCAGATAATAGTTTAGTGATACAATTTATATTAATTATCCCATAGGTGGGGAGAGAGGTAGATTCATACCTTTCCCAAGGGTTTTTATGCATAAGTGAATATAACAAATCCAACAGGAATTGGAACTCAACAAAGCAAGTAACAAATCCAAGCCATTATCCATTATAACACCTGCATATCCAAGCTTACAGTACCTGGTATTCCGAAGCAGTCAACTATCTAGGTATTGAGTAGGCTTGACATTACTTAACTTCAGTGATCATAGGGGAACCTGTGTTTCAGCATAATGTGGCTGTAAGCCTATCATGTTGATGGGGAAAGTTGGTGCTGATCAAGCCTGGATTAACTTTGGTGATCATACAGGAACCAATATTTCAACAAAGCATAAAGTTTAACATTTTAAACTGGACCACCACAAGTTAAAATAAATACAAAAGAAAATTCTACAATTTTCTTTTATTATAAATGAGAACTCCTAAGAGAGTTTGTGTGTGTGTGTGTGTGTGTGTGTGTGTGTCTGCTTTTGAATTCCTGATGCAATACACTTAAAACATCTGACCAAATAACCAAACCTCATAAAATTGGGGAACTCCTCGGGAGATGACTATATTTTTTAAGTGAATCTAAATGTTGAAGAAAATAAAAATGTTTGGATCAGGTTAATATTTCTCTACCCAAACATTTCACACTAAAGATATACCATCCAGGGTAAGGCGATAGACTACATTCACATCCTGGGTAAGACAATAGACTACATCCAACAGCAAGATCTTTGATCATGAGGTTTTGAGGAGCATGGAACCTCTTCTTAATTGCTGGTGTTCCCAGGTCCACCTTGACCAGGGATGGTAGCACCTGTCAGAGTCCCAGCTATGAACAAACAGTTAACCCCCGGAAAGGGTCAAAACACTATGAAAGTATAAAAATAGGTTTTAATACCAACAATACTTTTTTGGACAAATTATTATCAGTAGTACATTTTTGAAAAAGAAAAATATTACTAGCAATACATTTTATGAAAAAAGAAAAAAGATATTACCAACAATACATTTTTGGAAAAGAATATTACCAGCAATAAAATCTTGTTGGCATTAAATAACACATTGAGGTTGATACGCCATAAAACAAAAACCGCTAATTGATATAAAGCAAAAATCAAAAAATATACACAGGCTCTGAGTTTACATTTTAGAAGGAGTAAGAAAGAAGTTACTGCCATGTGAAACACTAACAAAATCTGTAATGCTGAAGGATTGCAGACACAAAATTCATGAAGACGACAACTTCTCTTGACTGGTTTTAACCCTTTAGCATTCAACACACTCAAACCCAGACTATAAATATCGGATCTCAAAGTCTCACTGTTTGCAGGACTTCTTGCGTTATGTCAGAGTATACATGAGGTTGGATGAATGTTAAGAGCCAATATTCACAGGTGTGTGTTTAGGTGGGTTGAATATCAAAGGGTTAATCATTCAGTCACAGCTAAAGTAAGGTTTTTGCTCATTTGGCCAAATGACTCATAACATTTCAAGTTATGCAGATTATTAAGTACAGTGACCAAAGAGGAAGAGAGATGCTAAATGAGAGAAAGAGATAGACACACACACACATTTTAATCAAGTCACTGTCGGTCACTGGGCATGTTTCTAAAAATAAATACGCTAAAAATCCACCTTCATCCCTACCGTGCGCCGACAGCTTAATGGTTAGAATCTCCGACTGACACCAAGTCAGTCAGGTTTCGATCCTAGCTAGAGGCAACTGGATGTCTAGCAAGACTGATGAGCTGTGAAACAGTCTGTCTGTGGAACAGTATATATATATAGGATATATATATATATATATATATATATATATACAAATAAAGAAATATAGTTTTAAGGTGTGCTATATTTACAGGATAAAGTGCTCAATATCAGAGATAGAACATATGTAAATATAAAAGTGAACATTGAAGTCAACACTCAGAGGCGACAGGCTGTTTCATGCTAGATGTAATCATCAGGCCACATGTGTTGTTTGATTTCTCAACTATTTATATATACAGATCAGTGGTGCATATATATATATATATATATATAGAATTGGACACTTAGGTCAACACAAAGTGGCGACCATCTGTTTTATAATTGAATGCTATCTTCAGAACGTGTTATGTTTTAGTTTGGCTATTTATATATATAAAAAATTTCAGTCTGACCATTTATCTGCCAGCACCTTGAGAGAGTTGAAATTGATTCCATCAAATATGAGAATGGTGGAATTGAAAATAAAAAATTGCTTAGCTACACAGAGAACAATCCTTGAAAACAAGTGGAGTAACATTTGAAAGTACTCCAAAACAGAAAATTATATAAAATAAAATGTTCATATGAATTTTGGCAAATTTACTGATAAAACAAAACAACTTGTTTGGAAATTTGATAGATTTAAGAAAAAAAATTGATAAAACTTTTCCATATTATTTAACAAAACATGTTTGAGAGAATACTTGCTACCAAAATAGATATTCATCTGACTGACCACCACTGGCAGTAATGGCTGGTGTTTGGAATGTCAAACTGAAGCCTTTATTTCACTCACTGGGGTAGACTGTTCTAGTTCCACATGCCATGTTTAATATAGACAGATATATTCACAAAACTTAATTGAATATTTATCAACATTGCAAGTGGGAGAAATGGATCTGCTGTTTTTAAGCAAAGTAAGACAGGAAATTATTCTCAAATGGACATGAATGGAAATCCATAGGACAAATTAAAGACGTAATATCATAATATAAAGAAATAATTTCTTTTTTTATTATCTTTATTAGCAAGGTTAAGAAAAAAAAGATATAATCTTTGAATATATTAATTATAAAGAAAACACAGACACCGCAGTCAGCATCATAATACAATCTTCTTAAACAAGTAACATTTTATTCACTAATGAGTAATTATTAAATAATTACTTGGTTGAACAAAAGTCAAGTCTAGCATGAAGAAAGAAAAATAGGTCAGGTGTAAGTCCTGTAATTCAGCTAAGTTTTTAACCAGCAAAGAGGATCATTGATAAATTTAAAAGATCAAGAAATAAAATGAAGTTACCAGTAAAAACAAAGTATTACTTTCTGAAAGGCTTGGTTCAAAAATCGTATGACTCATACAGCAATCGCTATCACTTGACTTAAAATATTTTTGCCCTTCCTTGCCTTTAAAGGAGTGTCCTTTGCTGTGATGTTGCTACATGCCTTACTTCTTGAAAGTATCTCACACTGCGAATTTTTTCTAAGCTCTATACTAAACATTAAATCTGTTAACACAAAACAATCAGCTTTAAAAAAAGGACTCGTAACTGGAAAAACCGAATGAAAAAAGAATGTTAACAACAAATACTGTTTCACACCCAACCCAGTTCTGCGGAATCAGAATCAACATTGAGTTTAAGCAAGCGAATGAGCCAATTGGAGTAAAGTGCCATCCAGATTTAAATTTTTCCCCACTTATGACGAATGCAGCTATCGATTTTTTTTGCATGCTAGCATGCTAGTTAACATTCATGTCAGTCAGCTGTTGGCTCTCACGCTGGCCAATAGAATCTTCCTGCCTATTTGTGGCAGCCAGCTATAGGCTCACACTCTGGCCAGTAGAAAATGGCCGCAAACTACATGAAAAATCGATTATTTTCACTATCAATGGGAGTTGGGAAATGCAAAGTCAGTCTTGGCCTTCATGCTAACTTGGAGCATGTGCATGTAAATTTTGGTGCAAATCCATCGAAAATTGTGGCCGTGCATTTGTTACACACATACATCCTGCCATTTATAGATAGAGATGACAGACAGAAGGTTGTAGAGTTCAACAGCACTTTTTCCTCATTATATGCACTAAAAATTTCAACTCTCTCTCTTGCTGATGTTATGTACATGTATATCCTGTTTGTTTCCAATTTTTTCTAAAACTGTGTTGTTCACATTTTCAGTTCATGGTATTCTCTAGAACCACATTTCTGTGGCCTCAAGTCTCTTCTTCATCTGTGCAGAGATTGTCAAGCATTCACTACCATAAGGGAGGACTGCTATTACATAACAGTTCAGCATGCTTTTCTTTGTCACTAATGAAATTTTCCCATTTCTTAATACTTATCTTTTGGAAGGCATCTTTCACTATCCCAATCAGATTTCAGTGTCACACCTTCTGTACTCTTAAAACTCATGGCTTTAACAATCATCATGCAATACAAACAAAGAGAAAAGCATTTAGTAGTTTTTTCCATTAATTACAATTTCATTCTTGGTTAGGAGAGCATAAACTAGTTCAGTGCTTTAAAGATCTTTCCTTTCTAATTTGTACTACCATAGTTTGGCAGAAAATGTTTTAAATTACTAACACAGAACTACTTCACAAATTCAGTTAGCAACCAGCTGAGAATTTCTTGCAAGCTCATACACAATGCTAAAGATATTTATAACTTCACATAAAGTAGATTTTCAAAGTAAACCACTTTATATTTCAGACATGTTTATTTAAGCTCCATCAGAAAAAAAAATGAAGCTTAAATAAAAGCGAAGCATGTTAAAGCACACATAAGGAGAAAAGAAAAATAAAAAGAGAAAACAAAGAGGAAAAACAAAAGAAATGAAAAGGAAAAAAAAAGAAAGAGGAAAAACAAAAGAAATGTAAAAACAAAAGAAATGTAAAAACAAAAGAAATGTAAAAACAAAAGAATTGAAAAAGAATAAGAAAAAGGAAAAAGAATAAGAAAAAGGAAAAAGAATAAGAAAAAGGAAAAAGAAAAGAAAAAGGAAAAAGAAAAGAAAAAGGAAAAAAAAGAAAAAGGAAAGGAAAAGAAAAAGAAAAAAAGAAAAAAAAAAAAGAAAAGGAAAAAAAGAAAGAAAAAAATAAGAAAAGGAAAAAAAGAAAAAGGAAAAAAAAAAAAAGAAAAGGAAAAAAAAAAAAAGAAAAGGAAAAAAAAAAAGGAAAAAAAAAAGAAAAAAAAAGAAAAAAAAAAAAAAAAAGGAAAAAAAGGAAAAAGAAAAAAAAAAAGGAAAAAAAAGAAAAAGAAAAAAAAAAAAAAAAGAAAAGGAAAAAAAGAAAAGGAAAAAAAGAAAAAGGAAAAAAAAGAAAAAAAAAAAAAGAAAAAAAGAAAAAGGAAAAAAAAGAAAACGGAAAAAAAAAAAAGGAAAAAAAAAAAAAAAAAAAAAAAAAAAAAAAAGAAAACGGAAAAAAAAAGAAAAAGGAAAAAAAAAAAGAAAAAGGAAAAAAAAAAGGAAAAGGAAAAAGAAAAGAAAAAGGAAAAAGAAAAAGAAAAAGAAAAGAAAAGAAAAAAACGAAAAGGAAAAAGAAACGAAAAGGAAAAAAAAGAAACGAAAAGGAAAAAGAAAAAAAAAAAAAAAGGGTAAAAAGAAAAGAGAAAGGGTAAAAGAAAAAGATAGAGAAAGCAATAACAGTGTAAAGAGCTTCAAGTATGCTTCATTGAAATAGAAATCTTTGTCAGTCTTTTCATTTGTACCCTACTACTACTACTACTACTTTAAATAATGCCCTGCATTCCTATCTATGATTGTTATTACAATATTTTGTTGTTAAACTCAAATATTTAACAATGCAATAATCCAATTTTCACAGGTGTTTTGTAATCGTGTAAAAATTCAAAACAGGAAAGCCAACCAGGAAATTTTCACGGGCATTGCTAGGCATCAATGAAAAAGAAAGTGAACATTAGTTATAGGGTGATAAAGAAATCATCACTTTGAAACTTGGGGAATAAGACAAAGTGAAGTGTCTTTGCTTGCAATTTCAGGATTTGGCTGCACACCATTTCCTACGCGACATCTACAAATTTTCGCTTCCATTTAACATCCAACATTCATTTTCAACTACAATCAGGAAAAAAGATAAATTTCAATTTCTGATCCCCTGCTTTAAGCAAACCAATTTTAAAAAAAAATTGGGGGGTTAGGGAAAAAAATATTTTAGGGAAAAAAAAAAAAAAAAAAAATGCAATGTTTCAATTCTGAAATGCAGCCTTTAAAATATCAGGAAAATTAAAATTTCTTTATACTAATATTTGCAAATGGCAAAGAAAAATGGTACTAACCAAATTTGGTGGCGGCGTATCAGTAGGCAGTCTGGCAAGCGAGATCTCATGCCCAATTTGAGCAAGGGCGATCAACTTGAGTGCAACAAAGAATCCTGGTTTTTCCAAGTATCCTTTTCCAGTTGGATCAGACAAATCCCATATCTGAAGAGAAATAAATTCAACAGATGAATGTTGCCAAGGGCATCACTCATTCAAATCAATGGCAAACAATGTGGTCAATATGTTAGAAAAAAAAATTGCTGATGGGATTTACAGTTATTAACAGAAGTTTAATTTAATGATACTTAACTGCAACTCCTTTGATGTGTATATATTAATGTCTTTATGAAACATTATCTGCCATCAACTTACATGCCCTTACAAAACATGCATTGCCTGCTGTTGACACGGCCAGATTATATATATATATATATATATATATATATATATATATATATATATATATATATATATATATATATATAAAGATAAAGAACAAACAAGAAATGTTTATCCATCTAACATATTTCACTTTTACTAAAGCTTCATCAAAGACTGAGATATAGATAAAAAGAAAAATTCTGGTATTTTTAGTTTCATGTTGTCTGAATTCATTGGTCAGTCATGTAGCATGTGCATTTGACTCTTAAACCAATGCTAGTATAATTTGTGGAGTTTCAAATTCAAGGAGAGATGACACATTCATCCAAAATTTCAAAACGTAATCTATATTTGATCCCAGCTCATACATATAATATACATATATAGTACATATATAGTACATATATAGTACATATATAATGTACATATATAGTACATATATAATGTACATATACAGTACATATATAATGTACATATATAGTACATATATAATGTACATATATAGTACATATATAATATACAGGGCATCTAAATTATGCTGACATCTCATTTTAACAGGCATATTTACCAAAATTACACAAAAATATCTTGAAATACTGAAGAGTGAATTTATTCAATAAAATGTCATTGACTTAAGCTACAGCCTCCAGACAATTTTGGAATCTCCTGCAACTCTTCTGGATGCTCTCCTTGTTTATGTTGGTGAATGTTGTTATAATCCTTGCCTACAGTTCATCTTTGGTGTTACAAGGAGTTTTATTGGTCTATCTCTCAACTGTGCCCAACACAGAGTAATCAAGGAGGTTGCAGTCTGGTAAAGTTATGTGGCCAGATGTAAGGAGTGATGTGGTCAAAGAAATTAGATGACAGCCATGACTAAATTCTCCTGCTTGTGTAGCCTGGTGCAAAGTCTTGTTGACAGACATAGGGTCTTCCAACAGGCACCCTCTTGACCCAGGGAAGCGCTACCTCCTCAAGGCACTTAATGTAGGCCTGTGTGTTGATTCTGAGACTCTATGGGAAAATGAATGGAGGCATAATGTCACCATCACCAATAATCACTCCAAACACCTTCATAATCACCATTAGACTCATCCAACTCTTTCTGAATCCTTTGCGCTGTTCTCAGATTGACACGCAAACACTCTGAAATGTTCATATTGGAGTGAATTGCATCATGGTGCTCTTTTTCTTGCAGAGGGTGCCCAACTTACCCTACTATACTGTGCAGCCAACAAAATAAAAAATAAAAAATAAAAAAAACAAATAACACACATGTGCATAATTTAAATTATAAAATGGCGACAATTTACCAATCGCACCCTCTGTGTGTGTGTGTGTATTATACAAAATATACAGTAATGCCTTGAGATAAGAGTTTAATTTGTTCCAAGACTGAGCTCGTAACTCAAAACACTCGTATCTCAAATCAATTTTCGCCATTGAAATTAATGCGAATGTTTCCAAGCCATTCCAGGCCCCTGAAAATCATCCTTATTTTTCTAAATCTGATGCTAATTTTTGTATTTGTGGGTTTCTTACAAGCAAAAATATATGAATAAGCAAGAAATGTAGTTTACAAACAAAATGAAAGAGAAAAAAACAAATCGTAAAGAAATAAAGTGTACTTAAAGCATGAAGTTAAAAACGAGTTATAGGCCAATTGGATGAGGAGAGTAAGAGGGACAACAGCAGCTAACCTAGCAACAACTAGCCCAGTCTACAATGCCAAAGATTAACTTTATCATTTAAATTTTTTTATCTTATCTATTGCTGTAATTAATTTTTTTTTTTAAATTTTTTAAATTTTATATTTTTCTATTTATCATCTGTGTAGAACACACATACTGTCTCCCCATATCTATTACTCATATGCCTACCTCATGTTTTTTTTTTTTTTTATAATTTCCCCTCAAGCAGAATCATATGTTTTGCTTTTTCACCACTACTCTTTACACTTTCTTTGTATCCATGGTGTCACTAAAAGAATTCTTAAAAAAAACACAACACAGATCCTTCCAGAGTGAGGTGAACATGTGTACTGTAAGTGGAAATACTCCCGAAGCTTGGCATCCACTGCACAAACTAGCAGATATATAACTGAAACTTGCTCCTATCTTAAAATTTAGCTCGTATCACAAAGCAAAAAAAAAAAAAAATCAGCTGAGTTCAAATTCTAGTAGAGTTCATAAAATCCACAATACAAGCTAATACCCTTGGGAAAGGCATGAATCCATCTCTTCACCATCCGGCTTTGGGTAAATACCAGAACAAACAGGGTCCTATAACCATAGGTAGGACAACTCTGAATCCAATACCTGAGGAGAGTCATTTGGGCAACTTGTGGCACACTGTGCAAAAGATGTCTGTATTCAGCTCTTCCAAAAAGTGTGGTCAGTTTTGCACAAGCATTCACCACTATAATCATGTGCAGGTAGTCTGGTTACATGACTCTAAAAAGTTTTTTTTATTCATAATTTTATAAAAATATCAAGAATTGCCCAGAAAATACATTTTTTCCAAAATTTATAATTATTGATAATTATTGTTGTCCATTTATTTCAATTTTCATGTCTGAAAGTCATTTTTTTTATAAATTTATGAATAAAAAACTTTTTTCATTTTTATTTCTTTATATATTGATAAATAATAAACACTACAATTTTAGGAGGTTGTAAATATAAAATTAATCTTGTAAATAAACAATAAACAAAAAGTGTTTAATATTTTTGTTGTAAATTCTCAAAGAAAAAGGAAAACATGAATTTACTTTCATATATTTGGATTTATTAAAATTCTAATTATCACTTTTTAAAACAACAAACAATGGTGAGGGAGTGAAGGTAGTTAAAATAATAGCAGTGTCAAGGGAAAAGCGTCCTTTTGATACACCGTTTTATTGCAGACACAAAAGTTAAAGATTGCCCAAATTTCTTTATTCACATTCCATTAAATTCCATGCATCAGCAATTCCATGCAATCATCTTACACTGTCAGACAGACTGTGAAAGTTATGGTTCAAATGAACCCAAAATACATTATCAATCAAAAAAACTGCATACCTTCTACAATCCCCTATATTTATGTCCTTTAAAGTTTTCAAAGAGATGTCTGAAGATATGTGAAGAAAACTAAAATTATAAGAAAAATAGCTTGTCACATTTAAACAAACATTTTTGAAAGAAAGTTTGGTATAATATTACGGTAATAAATAAATTTAAAAAAAAAAAAAAAATGCATGTTTTGTATTTTGTCCACCCAGCCAGACACAGTTCAATTCCTACTAGGGGAATATATTTCCCTAAATCTTCATTTTCCAAGTGAAGCCATAATGTCAAATTTTTAAAACCTTTGAGAATCTTTATTAAATAATTGTTTTACAACAGAAAAGCACAAGACATTCTATTGCAGAATTTCAAACTGCATTTAGACAAATGATACTTCTATGTGTCATCATGGCTCTCCATATTTTCTTGCCCCTTTCTGATTCTAAGAATAAGTGTCCTTTTTGTTTTCATTTTCTTTAAAGTGTCTGTCACTCACATGTTCAATTGATGGTATTTTCAGCATCCTTCTGTAGAACAATATTTTTGTTGCTTCAAGTCTCTTCATCTGTGAGGAGATTGTCCAGCATTCACTGCCATATAGAAGGACTGATATTATCAAACAGTTCCATAGTCTTGTTTGTTTGTAACAAAATTTTCCTGTTTCTTAATACTTTGCTTAGCTTTTTAAAGGTATAATTCCATTAAAACATGTCCCAGATATTTCATTTGTTGTACTTGTTTGATATTGGTATCTCTAGTTCGTAATTTGGAACTTGGGCCCTTCTTTTTGCCAACAAGGATGTATTCCATCTTCTTGCAATTGATGTTTAGTCCTTCCTTCTCGATTTCTTTCACTACCATCTTGTAGTTTGTTTTCCATGCCTGCTATCAACACTGTGTCATCTGTATATCCTATGTCGTTAAGACTGTGGCCAACAAGGACAAATCCTAGTAGGAATTCTAATTCTCTCAGAATCACCTTGCTGCATAGGTTGAATTAATCTGGTGAGAAAATATTTTTGCCTTAAATACCTTTCTATTTTTGTATATTTACTACACTCATTTTCTATCTCAGTTTGCTGCCGATATACATTCTAGACCGAGAACAGAAAACAATTAAATTACCTGTGATAGAACATTTTCTTTTAAAGAAGACTTTTTTAAGAATCTTGCAGCATCGTGAGCTCCAATACTGCCTGAATTTGTAGGATCCGCCTGGAAAGAAAAAGAAAAAGATCCTTGGAAAATTACTAAAAAAAAAAAAAAAAAAAAAAAAAAAAAAAAAAAAAAAAAAAAACACATAAGTTTCTGTCACATCAAACTTTTAAAAAGGTCATAATATTTGTGTATGTATCCTTGAAAAGTGGTTGAATTATCCAAGATTTGACCTTTTTCAGGGCTTTTTACACAGCAGATCTTGCAAGCCACTGCTAGGAAGAATGAGCTGCACTAGGTGCTCAATTATTGTGGCCTTGAATTAGTCTTAGCTGAAGTTTTTTTCTTTTTGTTTTAATTCACCCCAAGCAAGGTAATGATACCACTAAGACACAAAGAGCTACTTGGAGTGAAAGAGAATGAGGATTTAAAAGGAACCAGAAACTCAATCCTGAACATGAAAGAAGGACAAAACAAAAAGATTTGCACGAGTGCATTAAGGTAGGTTGATTTTACACATTTTTAAGAAAATCAACATTGCACTCAGTGTAAAAGCTAGCGTTTGATGCAATAAGTAATGACACCAAAAATTAGATTCATAGCTTTTACCAATTTTTGAGCATTTAAAGTTTGTTTCAAAAAAAAATGTATAGAAATATCTAATTTCCACAGGTTTTTTGCTTACAAACTGACTTAAGAATTTTACTATTTCAAGAATAAATCCAAATAAAGTTGATACTTTAAGTTAAATACATTGAATGGAAAATATATTCAAAACAAAATGGTAATTATGAATAACCATAAACAAAATATGCAATTTTTTTTACTGCATTCAATAAGGGAAATCTGTAAAAATTGTCAAAGATTGCAAAAAAGGCTAATCAATGAGTAAAATCTTACACAACTTGTTAGGTCATAAATAAAAACAAAAAAAAATGGATAAATGTCTATATAAGACTGTAATACTGCTGGACACAAATTATAAGACAAAATGTTTTAAATTTGAATTACTTATTGAAATAGCACTGAAACTACTGCACTGTATATTACATCATAATACAGCTAAAATGTTTTATATAATTTCCCTTAAAAGTAAATAAAGGTCTTATCTGATGGCACAATGATTTATTATTTATTTGCTTGCACATCGCTTTTTATCCATATACAATTTGTGAAGCTTCAGGGGTTAATTTAACTGCTTTTTCCACGCCTTACAAATATGCAGATGAACTCCAACATTGTTTCATTTATTTGACCTTCTTGCAGTTCATAAACTATTTTGTAAGAGGTTAATCAAATTTAACCAGTGTGTCACTTCAGAGTAGATGAATGTAATTTTTTTATCTCTTCTTTGGTGCCTCACTACTTTTGAAACCAAAAAAAAAAAAAATTTATTGGAAAATTTACTCATGCTTAGTTATATTTTTGTGATGTAATTTCAATGAAATTTTAAAAATGGTCTTGTAAATTAACATTTCAAACCAATTGCATCTATTTCTATTATAAATTTTATAAAGCTCTCACGGATCACCAGAATGAAATTCCAATGCTCTGAACAAAAAGTTATTCTTTAAACTTGTTTCCTCAAAAAATGCTAATGATTTGGAAAAAAATATTTTGTCTTATTTATCATGTCAAACCCCAACTTTCAAATTGAGTGCAATACCATGATTCCAAAATTGACTTGTCTTAGTGTGTAGAAAGGGAGAAACGGAGGTAGGTTTTATCTTTACATAAATCTTCTTTGTGATGTGTCCTTTAAGGACGGGGACGATCACAGCTCTCTATAACTTCCTGCCCTCTGTATCTGTCTATATTTCCGAGATGAGGTATTATGTACACTATTTACATTACACCTTTATCCACTGTGCCATGTGTCCTTGAGTTAGATCCAGTGACAGGACCCAGAGAGTGTGAGTTTAATACCCAGTTAAGGCAGTGGAGAACTTGGAGAGGGGAATTAACAGCAGATTACTGACAACTGACATCCATTAAACATGGCACATGGAACCAGAACAGTCTACCCTAGCAAGTGAAATAAAGGGTTCATTTCGACATTCCAAACACCTGAAGAAGGTCAGAGCATACAACGGCCAAAACGTTGTAATAAATATGGTGACAAAGATGAGGACAATAGTCTGAATAATGTAAATAGTGTTCCTGCCCTCTGTAATTCTTAGTAACATTTGACTTTTCACCATCCTCCAAATCTAAATACAAATAGATTTGTCTAATTCTTTTTTTTTTCAACCAGTTACACAAAAAGAAATATAAATTTTAACATTATAATTACAATCAAATATGTATAGGAAAACTATATTGGTTTGTCCAGTAAGTTCATGCCGATTTTTAGTTGTTCATGTTCCAACATGCCAAATTTATCGACTGATATAATATGCTTACATTTACAATTAGAGAACACTTCAAACTCTCTTCAAAAAGAAAGTTTAAAATTATTTAATTCATATCAATTTTGCATCTCTATGAAAATGGAAGATTATAAGGTGTATTTTAGACACTTGATGCTATCTTTTCGTTTTTACCATAAAAGCAAAAATGCCTTGCAAGCAACAAAAAAGATATGTACTATGTGTGGTGAAGGTGCTTTAGCTGACAGAACTGTACAGAAGTGGTTCATTAAGTTTAAAGCTGGTTATTAATGAAGAACACTTAGACAGACTTGCTGCTACAGACGGCAATCAAATCAAGACAACACGGAAATTGGCAGAAACACTTAAATTTATCAAAATCCACCATCCATGAGCACTTAGTGATGGTTGAGTACTCAAATCACTATGATGTTTTGGTCCCACATGATCTGAGTGAAAAGAATCTTTTGGATTGCAATCCATCAGTGATTTGATGTATAAATGCAATGAAAATACACCCTTTTTGAAGCAAATTGTGATGTGCAATGAGAAATGGGACATTTACAATAATGTTCAGTGAAAAAGGTCCTGGGGTAAGCAACATGAGTCAACATTAGCAACCTCAAAAGGGGGTTTTCATCCTAAGAAAGTCAAGCCGTGAATCTGGTGGTATTGGAAAGAAATCCTGTACTATGAGCTTCTGCCAAGTAACCAGTCAGTTGATTCTAAAAAGTACTGCTTGTAATTGGATGAATTAAAAGGCAGCAATTCAAGAAAAACGCCCAGAATTGGCAAACAGGAAAGGTGTTATTTTTCATCAGGATAATGCCAGACCTCATGTTTCTTTGGCGACCTGGTAAGAATTGTTGCAGCATGGCTGGGAATGTGTTACTCCACCCACCATACTCATCAGCAATTGCTACTTCAGATTTTCATTTATTCAGGTCCTTGCAAAATTATCTCAATGGTAAAAATTTTAATTCTTTAGATGACATAAAAAAAACACCCTAATGAGTACTTTGCCCAGAAACCACCAAAATTCTGGAAAGATGGAATTTTTAATTTGAAGAAAAAAATAGAGAAAGGTTGTGAAACAAAATGGTTCATATTTAGTTGAATAAATATTTAATGGCATAATCCTGTTTTAATTTCTCTTAAAAACCATTAACTTTCCAGACAACCCAATATTTTTATATATCAAGAACAATTTTAATGGGGGGGGGGAACAAAAACAAAAACTGACAAAATGGAAATATTTTTTGTCTGACGTGTTTCTATCCAATAAAGTCCTAAAGGATGAAACACATTACACAAAAACTTTTTCCACTTTGTTACAGTTTTATTTTTCCTAGGTTCACCTAACATCCAGTTCACACTCTGCCCTGTTTTTTTTTCAAAAGGAGTAGAGATTTATCCCTTGTTCCCTGTTTAAGATTGGATTTCCGATTCCTCTTCATTCCTCGTCTTCTTCATTCTCTTTCACTCCCGGTAGCTCCCTGCATCTTAGGGGCATTATCACCTTGCTGGTAACTGAAGTTATTAAAAAATATATGTATAGACATACTTTTGTTTCATAATTTGTCAAAATTTGTGTTTTTTAAAATTTCCCAATATTATTAATCTATCTCAACAAGCCTGATATGCCAAAATTAAACAATTGGTGACGTGTGCATGTGTGTGTTTTGAAAATTTCTCAGCTAAACTAAGCCCTTACCAAAAAAAAAAATACTAAAATAAAAAAAATATTTTTCATTTGGTCAAATTTTCGGCTGGTGACTAGGCAAAGAACCTTTCAGCACCTACACGTTTACTTTCACATCCTAAATAGACAGGCCTGACCAGTAATTTTTATTCCCCCCCGACAACCTACCCACTGTTATTCCAGACAATTATTTACCATTTTTTTCTAACCTGTCCATTTATTTCAACTTCCTCTTTCTTTTTTGTTCTGAAAACAAGTTAATTTTTAAATAATTTGCAAACATACCCTTTTCATCCAGCTTACTCTTCTATTCCAGACTTAAGACTATATGTATATAAGCTGTAATTATGGCCCTAATAGAAATTAAAGTTCCATAAACAGCTGTTAGAATTTTACAAAATATTGACAAATGTTTTTTTCTTTTGTTTTTGAAAATATTACTTTCCTTTGTTGGAATAAAATTTCAGAAATTTAATTTTTTTTGCAGTTAAAAAAGGATCAATTTTTACTCAATAATTTATATTATTAATAAGTATTAAAAGTTTATGCTATAAGGAGGTGCTTAAAAATTCTGAAACATTAACCTTTTTTTTTTTTTTTTTTTTAATAATCTCGTAAGGTGTCTACTTTTTGGTCAGGTCAAGAACTTCTTCGACTCCTCCGAACCCTCAATGAAAATGTTTATGAAAGACCTACTTTGGGGGTGGGCAAGACAATCTTTTTTCATGTGATTAATCACTGACATTTTGAAACACTTTTATTGCCAATAAAACAAATCATTTCCAGCATTTATTTTTTTTTTTTTTTACAGACAAACTCCCTTTTATTGAAATTCACTTTGCAGATACTGCGCATTTTTACCAACTGTGATAACCCTGCGTCAATCAAGTCAACTGGCACCATTTTGACAACCTCATTCACTCACTTCTTGTCTCTGTATCACATTTTGGCAATTCTTCCAATATTTCAAGAATTTTCATTATTATTGA